GTAGAGCTGTAGAGATGTAGAGCGCTCTGGAGCGCTGTAGAGCTGTAGAGCTCTACATCCGCCGCGGGACGAGGCGGGTGCGTTGTAGAGCGATGTAGAGCGCGATTTTGTTGTAGAGTTTGTTGTAGAGGCTCTACAGCCAAACCGCCGGGAAGGCAGCGATCGCCACCTCGCTGGCCTCTCCGCAAGGCCCCCCGACCGCGTCGAACTCATCGGCGCGGGCTCCCTCGGCTACGGGACCGGCCCCAGCTTCGGCTGAGGGCTAACAAGGTAAAGAACAAGCTGCCGAGCCCAAATCACTGTGAGAGTCGTGATTTCTTGTTGGTCTTCAAAAATCTCTCTCTCAAGCTCTCAACAGAGAGAGACATGCTTTTGTTTTTGCACCTGCGTGAACAGAGTTCGCCACCGAGCTCCGCAAGACCGCGGCCCAGGTTGGTTCACAGCGGAGTCGGCTGCTCTACTGGTCGAGATTTCATGGGGGGAAGGAACGAGGGAGTTGTTGACTTGTGTAGGCACCGCCTGCGCTCGGCACCGGGCACCGCTCGGTATACAAAATCTCGGGCCGACCCTCCAGAGGTCGGAGTTTGTGTAAAATCTTCTTCACAGTTCGGCTCTCGGCCTCTCGACTGGGCCGCCGCTGCAGCCTTCACAGCCTTGTTGTGAGAAGAAAATTCACACCCCGCTCGAGGACTCGGGCGACACCAAAAATGCCGGTATACGTCGTGACTGGCTGCAGCGGCGGCCTCGGCCTCGGCCTGGTCAAGTCGCTGGCGGCACGCGGCGACAAGGTGTACGCGACCGTGCGCAAGCGTGCGACGACCGCGACCGGTGAGGACCAAATCAGCAATGTCCAAGGCGACATCACTGTCATCGAGGACATCGACGTGGCGAAAGACGACGTGGGAGCCAAGCTCTCGGCCGCTCTCGCCGGCGTCAAGATCGACGTGGTGATCCACAACGCTGGCGGCATCGCGAATCGAGACGGGCCAGACGCTCCAACGGGCGCCGCAGCCTTTGCCGATGGCGGCGGCGGGCCGATGGGTGCGAAGCCCGACAACCTGAAGGCGGTCACGACCGAGCGGTGAAGCTGCCCTGCCTTTTCGCGCGAGCGTGGCCTGTCTTTGCGCTTGATTGTGCTTCCCGCGCGTCGCAGGATGCTGGCGTCCTTTCAGGTAAATACGCTAGGCCCGTTGCGCGTGCAGAAGGCGCTCACCGAGCAGATGGGCGCTGGAGGCAAGGTGCGTCGACCTCACACACACACACACACACACTCACACACACACACACACACACACACACACACACACACACACACACACACACACACACACACACACACACACACGCACACACACACACAGACACACGCACACGCACACACACACACACACACACATGCACACACATACACATGCGCCCACTGGTGGGTCTAGGTGAGGTGTCTTGCCGGGGACAATGTCTTGGATAGAATTCCGCACGCACCCTCAGGCAAGAGCTGCCTTTCGTGGCGCAGGTCCTGATCATCAGCACCGGGATGGGCTCGATCGGCGACAACAACTCGGGCGGGCTGTACGCTTACCGCACCGCCAAGGCTATCGGCAGTGGCGGTGGTGCCAGGATGGCCGCCGTGGAGGGCACGGCATGCGGTGTGAACAGGCCGGCGTCAACATGGTGATGCGCAACATGGCTCTCGACCTCAAGACGAGCGAGATCGCCGTCATGTCGGTCAACCCGGGTGCTCGCAAGACGGCGGTGCCTGCTCCCTCGGCGAACAGACGCCCGTGACGCGTCCGCGACTCTTCTCGCACA